CGATGGTCGAATTGACTTGGCAGTAGAGTCAGCCAAGCAAAACAAGAGTTCGCAGCGAATCCTGAAAGAGCTGTACGAAGCAGGCCACAAAGCTGTTGGGCTACTGGGCGAAGATGAAGGAAGATATCCTTTTTACATGTTATATCAAGGCCCGAAAGAGTCAACAAGTGTGCCGGTGGAGAACATCACATGGGGATCAGACTTCGACGAGCTGGAGAAATCTATCCAGGCTGCAGAAGCGAAAGGGAAAGCCGTGGACGAAGGAGCCACGGGTGAAGAATTGAACAGGGTCGTTGTTTTCAACGAGCCAGAGCCAAAGATGATGCGTCATTTGAGGCCTCTCTACATCAAAGCCACACTTGACGACATACCAATGTCGAGAGTCTTAGTTGACAATGGCGCCGCAGTGAATGTGATGCCAACAAGGATGGTGAAGAAGTTGGGCAAGAGCACTAATGACTTGATCCCAACGGAAGTGTTTGTGACAAGCTTCAATGGCGGGTCCACTTCTGCACGGGAATCCTCCCTGTGGTCGTGGGAGTTGGATCACAGAAGCGGATGAGTGCTTTTTTCGTCGTGGATGGAATGATAAGCTACAACGCACTACTTGGCAGGGATTGGATCCACGCCAACAAGTGCATTCCTTCATCGCTGCATCAGTGTTTGATGCTCTGGAATGAAGACGGTGTTGGTGAGGTGGTACAGGCTGACACAAAGCCGTTTGCCGTTGGGGCCAACGTGGCTGAAGCTTATTTGTACCATGGAGATTTTGGACCACTCGAAATCAGGAGCGGGGATGGAGGAACGTCCAACGTCATAGTTTCAAGCGCGAGAGTGTTGAGTAAGGCTTGCTTGAACCACTTGTCTGAAATTGTGAGACCATCAATGCGTGCGTTAGGTGGTCCACCAAAATCAGAGTAAGCCACCTCAAGAGAGGGTGGAGAAGGCCGAAATTACGACCTTGATAGAGGGGTTGCCGATCAACGGCGAGGATGCGAGTAACAAGTTGGGAGAGGAAGCAGCGGTGCTGTCTGCGACATTGTGGAAGAAATCAACTTTGGCGGGAAGGATGATCCACATTCAACGTTCATATTGCCAGCTTGCATGACTCTGACAGGTACGAGTTAACTCTGATTCTGAATGGCTTCAAAGATTGTTTTACGTGTGAATATTAGGAAATATAACATGGATATGTTGCAATCATGTTGTATAGCCAGTTTATCGCTTTTTATTTTAGATCCATGCATGACTGAGCTACGTAGATGCCATCGACATTGCATTAACCTAGTCAAGGCTGTTGGTGTATGGTTGTGTTGGCTAAATGGTTTGTTTTCTTTAAGCCAGAGTTGTTAAATATGGTCTGTCGATTACTGTGTTGTCGAGATAGTCACAATATCGACCAAGATTAAACATGGCTTTAATTTTAATTTTCTTTGATAATGGTTGATTAGGAAATAATGACCAAACATGGCCATTTTTGCCTAAGCCACGTAGCAGTGGTGCCGCTTTATTTTTCTTTTCATATCAACAACATTGTTGGGGGGCACGGTGTTGCGGAAGAAAAATGACTATTATATTATACCATAAAAAAAAGAGAGCGGCCAAAACAGCGCTGATGAGGAATTGAAAAAGAAGAAGGAAAAAAAACAGGATTATTTGGATGATGAACAGTGCTGCTAGAGGTCCTAAGCGTGGCCGCAATGGTATAAAATATAATAAAATAAAATGTCTCTCAGCGCTGCGGCCAAGCAATGTCGCGACTGTTGTTGGAGTCTAACAGCTCTGTCGACAAAAGGAGTAGTGTGCGGCCAAGCAGCTCTAATATATATAAAAAAAGTAATGAAAAAAAAGTATAAAAAAAACATGTGTGGCCGAGGCGGCTATGCAGGCCTGCTAAAGAGGAAAAATAGGCCAAAAGCTTTCCACCAATTTTTGGTTGATTGGTAGTTTAAATTAAAATTATTTTAGGTGTTGTGGATTTTGTAAACAATTTGTTTCATAATTCTTATAAACCAAATTGTGGGGGACATTTGTTGACACCTAAAATTAAGTTGGCCGGAATACAATGCCGCAGTAATTAGTCTCGGCATTTAATTCGATATTGCAGGTAAAAAACAGTGTCGCATAGAGACAAGCGGCATCGCGGAGAGTTAAAACGATACCGCGAAATAAAAAACGGTACCGCAAGGAAGCTCAGCGGTACCGCGACACTGGAAACGACACTGTTTGCCGGAAAACAAGAGGTGGGCCGCGTGTGTAGCATTGGTGTTGGAAAAGGAGTATTTTATTTTATTTATTCCTTGTCGGAAGGGGAGAAGCGATACTGCGTGGAGTCGAGCGGTGTCGCGAAGAGTTAAAACGATACCGCGAAATAAAAAACGGTACCGCAAGGAAGCTCAGCGGTACCGCGACACTGGAAACGACATTGTTTGCCGGAAAACAAGAGGTGGGCCGCGTGTGTAGCATTGGTGTTGGAAAAGGATTATTTTATTTTATTTTATTTATTCCTTGTCGGAAGGGGAGAAGCGATACCGCGTGGAGTCGAGCGGTGTCGCGGAGAGTTAAAACGATACCGCGAAACAGAAAAGCGGTACCGCAAGGAAGCTCAGCGGTACCGCGACACAGAAAACAACACCGCCGGAAAAGAAAAGGGGCCGCGCGTTTTAGTGTAGGTGTCGGGGAAGGATTTTTTGTTTATAATTAATTATTATCTTTATTCCTTGTTGGAAGGGGAAAATCGGTACCGCATGGAGATAAGCGGTATCGCGGAGAGTTAAAACGGTACCGCAGATTTAAAAACGATGCCGCGAGAGCCTGGTAAGCGGTACCGATTAATTAAAAAATCAAAGCGGGTGAGTGACAAAAGTTCACCCAGCCCAATGCGAGCGCCGACTGGCGGCGGCTCCATGGATTAATATTTTTGGCTATATCAGCGGTGTCCTTTAATTCAAAACGATACCGCGAGTAAGCCTAACGGTACCGCGGATTAGCAAACGACAGTGTTTAAATAAAAAACAATGTCGCGAAGGGAAAGGCAAACGGAGCCGTTTTGGCGCTAATGATGTCGTTGGTCAACACACGAGTTTGACTAGTGATGGCCGGATTAATTCACTAATATTGTTAATGATTAATTAGGACGGTGTCGTTTAGTTGAAAACGATGCCGCAAGAGGAAAGAAACGACACTGCGGATTATAAAACAATACCGCGAGTAGGCCAACCGATGCCGCAACAGTTAAAACAACAGTGTTAAAATTAAAACAGTGTCGCGAAGCTCAAAAGCTCAACGACATCGCGGGACAAGGAAACGATGTTGTTTAATTATGAACGGCGCCGCGAAGTGAGTGTTTGACGGGGTGTCAACAATGATGGCCGGTTTAATTAATTAATATTTTAAGGATCAGTTTAGACCAGGGGCGGAGGGAGAGAGTTAGAGGGTGGGTCCCTGGACCCACCCTGGCTCGGGTTAGAAAATGGTCAATTAGGTATAATAGTTAATCGGGTATGAAAAATAATACGTATTTAAATGAAATTGGTAGACCTTTGAAATATTTGATGTATGATTTATAACGAGCGTTGACATATTCAATGTATTTATAACGAGCTATGTACAAATGATAATGATGTATATGATTCGACCAAAATTGAAGATGTATGTATTCAATATTTACAACAAATTTCCACCAAATCATAATTCATTTGTAAAAATAATTTTATTTTAATCAGGGGTAGGGAGATTGTAACAGGTGTTTCCTAAGGACGAAAATGAGTAAATTAGTATAATAGTTAATCGAGAATGAAATTTAGGACACTTCTAATTGAGAATGGTTGACCGAGATATCATTTGTTCGAATCTTTGTAACCCCATTTGTTAAACACATGATATTCGGATTTACGTAAGTTTCACGCATAAGTTGGTTGTAGTAAGCAGGAAAGTGTTAGTAAATACTAAATAGTATTAGATTCATTATTAAATCTTTACTAACAACTCGAGTTAATGATACTAAACGGTCTTGACGAAGAACACGATTCAAAAGCAAATGTCTAACTAAATCATAAATAATTGTTTGATACATATATGGTGATATTGTTGATAGTTTTGACATATAATTTAATTTACCAAGTTTTTGCAAATACAAAATTATATCATGAACGATTTAGAAAGCTAACAAAATTGTTTTATCGTATGTATTTTTTCTAAATGGACCCACCCTCGACAAAATCCTGGCTACGCCCCTGGTTTAGACGGTGTCGTTTAGTCGAAAACGACACCGTGGGAGATATCAACACCGCCGCGGTACCGAAACGATGTTGTTTAATGGAAAACAACGTCGTAGTGGCGAGAGTTCAGCAATTGTGGATTTTAGTTCAGTGTCGTTTTGGCCAAGTTTCCGCGCGGTTTCGCACTCATGGGAGTTACGCAACAAGGAGGAAGTTACCTGCACGGTGTACAGGAATGAAGAGCGTGGGAGACAAAGGCGCGAAGGCAGTTACTACGACTACGGGGAGAAGAGCCGGGTATAAAGATCGGGAAGAGAGAGAAGCTAGAGACGGCAAAATCAAATCTCAAACTGCACCGTCGCAGAATTATCAGTTTTTCTCTCTAGTTTTCGTAGAACCGCTCTGTCAAAGAACTCCTTTGCAGAGTCGTAGTCGTAGTCGCGGAGCTCTCCAGAGGAACCTCGATAGGAGTAGAGGTAACATAACTTAGAATACTCTCGGTTTGGTTTCTCGTTTCTCGTTGAACACCCTCGTTCGAACGTAATTTGGAGAGGTGGTGAACCGAGTAACGGTTGTTCTGGTTAGAGGTCAAAGGTGCATCGATCAAATCAACATCGCCGACGCCGGCGGTGGATATTTGACGGTCGTCTTGATTTCTGTGTAATCGATCAAATCAACGGCACCGACATTCGGCGGCAGATATTTGATGATTTTGCTGATTTTGTGTTTGTGCTGACTTGAATACAGTGCGCATTGAACACGTGAGTTTCGCCAACGAAACATCCCCTTAAATAGTACTGACAAATAACAAAATACTACCCGACTAACCCACTAGGGCCGAGCTCTTCACCCCCTCCCACTCGGCCTAACCCGTGTTTCTAACAGAATAATGAAGATGCAGATAGAAGCTACCAAGAAGCCTGTATTTCATCCCTTCCACTGCTGTTAAATGCCATCAAAGATACACACAAGTTATATTTTGATGCACAAGGTTATAACTGTGCTTTTAAAGGTCATCCTCGACTATATTTAACCGAGTCAAGATTCAACGTCATTGTTAGATGCAACATTGAGAAGCAGAACTACTCCAGCTGGCATGCTTCGAACACGATTAAGTAGTGCTGAAATCTCCCTATGAACATAACTAAACCGATCTTTGCTTTGGATACACTGATCGGTCGGTAGAGATGCAGCAAGAAAAAGGAAGGGTTGAACACACAAATCACTGTTGCTTTCAGCATTGTGATCTGCTTCCGCAGAGCTCCTCCAGCGGGCTGGGAAGTATTTTTCTGGGAGCTTAAATATTCGCTATCCATTTTCTTAAAATATTGTACGAGATATGACCCATCTGGAAGTTCTTGTGCTCCATATTGCATGGACATCACAATTTCGTGTTGAAAGCGCAAGGTGTGAGAATGCTCCGTGCATGCTCTTCGATAGGTGTGGATGCTTTGATGGGCGAATAGTAAATCCCGGTTATGGCGTGAATCGCGTAGTTGGCGGCAGCATTGACCTAGAAGATCCACGAAAAGGTTTGAAGAGCCGAAGATAAAAGTTAAAACATCAAAGCCAACAAGCAATTATAACCCCACATGGAGTAATGGGAGTAAGTTACCTGCTCAAAGAACACTTGCAAACATGACTGTCCATTCAGAATCCTTTTCAAGAACAATTCGCACGACTGTGAGAACTCGGGAGTCGACGTAAGAGCCAGAAAGCACCCTCGAACATAAGCCATTGACCAGGATCCTTTATACGAGTAGAGCAAAGCAACATGCTTATCTGAAACAAGTCCAAAAGCGAAGAGAACCAGCTAGACAACTTGGACATGATCACATGACATGACATGTCATATACATATAACATCTGGCGACTCCCTTGCAATAGCATCCCTAATCCCATAATCTATATCCGTTAGAATCGTCTGTGGCTGCCTACCTCTCATAAACCGAACAAAAGTCTGTAAAGCCCATGCAAAAGAGTGACAACTTTCATCTCGAAGCAAGAAATATCTGAAAAGAACAGCCTTCCCATGATTATCCATGCCAAATATCACTCCTTGTAGCAAGACATAAGACATAGGTTATCAAACGATAAGTTGTATCGAGGTACACGACATCTCCATACAATGCATAGGTGGATCCAATGGATTCCCCATATGTCCATGCAGCGTTCTCAACCTTTTCATTTACACCTGTGGTATTCTCATAAGCAAAAGTATTGTCCCTCCCTACCATACCCTTGCATGCTTCGAGAAGCTGCAATGTACCGTTCTCTTTCTTCTCCATAAGCAAAGCATCATTTTCTTGAACAGTCTTCTTTCAGGTCCTTATGAAGTTTCTCACATCCTTCTCTATGAAGGAAAGTTGCCCAGGTTGAACTCCCTTTTCCAACTCCAACACTTACACTATCCGATTTACAGGAAATCCTGCCTCGGATAACAAGAAAATACGTTCTTGATCTGCTTCAAGGACTTTTCTATATGCAGGTAAAAGTCGAACTTGATCATCTTCTAACAACTCATGATTGTGCACATTGCTGAATTGTGAGACATAGCACTGAGCAACACCATCACCTATTTTCTCCATTAAATACAACTTTGTATCACATCCAGATCGAACTGACCCTCGGCCCCTGGGATGCTCCACATCGGCCTTTTTCCAAGGCTGATTAAATCCAGACCGGTATCAAACAAAGTCACGTCTATAGACTCCTAGCTTTTGGTTGATAGTGCTTTGCTGATTGAGAAGCCATTCTTTCGAGCAAAGTTGCTGTAGTACTCAAAGGCATCAGAGTCGGTCTTGAAAATCTGACCGAATAAGGTGTGAAGAGTGGTTCGGCCAATGGTGACGATGATGCCATTTGCTCATTCTTCAGTATGCTAGAGTTAATTGATGTTGATTGATGATCTCCATCGGACCTAAGGCAGCACTTCCAGTCTCCGCATGGGCATTGTTGTCGTCCAATTTATGTTGCTCAATGGCTTTGTAGGCACAAGCTCCTTTCTGGTACAACAGGGAAAAGTTCAAATCAGATATCAATGTGCCATTCATCTGCAATTCCATAATAAGATTCTCCAAATCAACAGTGGCTGATAAGTTGATAACTGCAAAATGAAGCTATAAAGTCATCATTCCCAATAGATAACGGATTAACTTGAACTCAGAAATAAGAGCAACTCGTAGGGGTGACCGTAGACATGAATAGTGGGTCAGTAAAAGATCGAACTGGAACCAGTAGCTGAGATCTACAACTCACAACAAAATTTCGTACATAAACTGATAACCCAATCTGTCAACGCTGTGGCAATGCAGAACTCAGGTTCTCAATCAAATCAAAAAGCTCTACCCAAGTGAAGGAAAGATAAAAAGGCGGCTGCAAAGTTAAGAATTCAGCAACGGAAGAGAGAAAAAGAAAGCTAGCTTTGGAACAAGAGCACCAGACATCATCTAATTGCAAATAGTGGAGGACTTGTCATCATCTAATTGCAAATAAACTATATAAAATAGAAAACAACCATTCGTTCTACAGAAGATTATGTAAGTGAATTAATAAGTGAGCTTAGAGAACTCCCTTTACTACCTAAAACATATAGTTTTAAGTTCTACCAGTAATCCCGGCATGAGCATTCTCCATCCTCAAAATGATGAAACCTATTGGAATCTCTAACCACAATCTGCCTTCCTTCAATCTTCGATATCAACTTCAGAGCAGTGTGACAATCGCCACAAACCCTCAGATTCTTCATAACCCTAATCGGTGCCCTCCCTCCACCACGACTCAAAACAAATGCCACAGCAAGCTTCTCACTATGATAACTCAACAACTCTTCCTTGCTCTCCACGTCAACATCATAGAAAGCAAACCCCGTCTCTGCAACATACCCTGCATCCTTCATCTTCCCCTTCAACTCCTTCAACTTCTCGTATATCGAATCCATCTCCGGATGAAACTTGTCTCCGGCCACAAACACGTGGACCCTGTCTTTCATCGACACCCAACTACACCCTGCTTCCTTCTTCACCAAGGCATCTCTCATTGCCCTTCTGGACCTTGCCACCTCATCCCATTGCCCTCCTGACGCATACATGTTTGACATAAGTACATAGTTTGTTGCGTTATCGGGCTCCATCTCCATTAGCATTATGGCGGCTTTCTTCCCTAGCTCGGTCTTCCGACCATTTGATCGACCACAGGCGCCTAGAACCGTCCTCCAGATCAGAGTATTGGGCTTCATCGGCATTGAGTTGATGAAATTCTCCAACTTCTCAAGCTGCCCTGCTCTTCCTAGGAGATCTGCCATGCAGGAATAATGCTCGATTCGAGGTTTTAATCTGTATTTCTCGGTCATCGAGGTGAAATGGCCAAACCCTAAATCAACCAGTCCAACATGGCTACAAGCTGATAACACTCCAACGAAGGTGACGTGATCAGGAAGCAACCCACCTAGAGCTTCGAGCTGTGAAAACAGGTCCAGAGCTTTTTCACCGTGCCCATGTCGAGCATACCCCGATATCATCGAGTTCCACGAGTATAAATTCCTAACGGGCATCGAGTTGAAGAATCTTGATGCATAGTCAACTCTACCACATTTCGAGTACATGTCTACCAGAGCACTTCCAATGACTACATCGGACTCCAGACAAGATCTCAATGCAGCAGCATGGACTTCTGCACCATGTGCCAGTGTGGCGATGGAAGCACAAGCGCTGAGAACGGTGGCAAAGGTGAACCGGTCCAACCGTTGACCCGTCTGCATCATGGAACAGACCAAATCCATGGCTTCCGATAGCATCTCGTTGTGGATGTAACCAGAAATCATCGAGTTCCAGCTGACTTCATCTCTTCGATTCGACATTCTCAAGAAGATCTTCTCACAGTCGTTCATCTCTCCACATTTGCCATAGGAAGCCAACAGGCCGTTTTCTAAAGCCAAATCATCAGCCATGTGGCGTTTCAGCAACATGACGTGGATTTGAGGGGTGAGTTCATTAAGGGAGAGAAATGAGACTGCAGTGAGGATGTTGATGAAGGTTACTCTGTTGGGATTCCATCCAGCTCTCATCATTTCCAGGAAAGTTTCTACCGAGTTAGAAGCCAAAGAGTCTGAATTAGCATATGCTCCAATTGCGGTGTTCCACGAGACCAGATCGAGATCTGGCATCAACAAGAAGGCCTTCTGACATTCAGCAAGACAACCAGTTTCAGCATATAGTGCAAGAAGGGAATTCGAAACTGAAACGTCGAGTTCAAGTCCGAATTTTATCACTTCGCCGTGTAACTGTCGTCCTAGCATGATCCAACTCAAGCTTGCGCATGAACTCAAAGCACTAATAAATGCAAAATTCGACGGCTTTAAACCGGTCCTTCTCATTTGGCGGTATCCGTCTACTGCATCTTCAAAACACTCGTTCTGGTCAAGCCCAGAAATCATGGAGTTCCATGATACTGAATCTTTGTTCACCATGAGGTCAAACACTGATCTGGCGTTAAAAATATCAGCGCATTTGGAATACATGTTGATAAGGCCATTACCTATTGAGACCTTGATTTCGTTGAACCCATTTCGGATCACGCATCCATGAACTTCTCGACCCTTTCTTCTTCCTTCCTCTATTGTAGAGAACTCGGGAAAAGAACTCAACAGTATAACATATGAATCGAGATTTATATCGACTGAGCTTCTCATTTCAGTGAACACTTCAGCTGCTTGTTCTCCGCATTTGTGCCGAACCAGTCCAACCATTAATCCGTTCATGGAGACGAAACTGCGAGTGGTCATCTGCTTCAGAATCTTCCTAGCATAATCGAAAACTCCAGACCTAGAAAACCCACTTACCAAAGCACTGCCCACGTAGAGATCTGACAGAAAGCCTGATTTTTCAACCCTGACAAGAATCTGCTCCAGCAAAGATGAGCTGGAAGAACAAGCAACAGTGATCAAACTTCCTAAGGTGTACTCGTTGGGATTGGAGCCAAATCCGGAATCTTTTTGCATGTTGGAGAATAGTTCAAAAGCAGAGACAGAATCCCCACGTTTCGAGTAAACTGATATGATGGAGTTCCATGATACAGAATTCCTAACTTTCATCTCATCAAATACACGACGAGCGCTTTCAAAATGTTCTGCCTGGATGCTGCTTCCGTACATCGATATCAAAACGTTGGAGAGAACTGCGTCGTGTTCATGAGGAGACTTTAGAATCCAGCCATGAATCTGCATGCCGAGTTTAATCCCTTCTGTACCAGTCACCTGGCAAGCTCGAAATGCACTCCCGATAGCAAAGCGATTTGGCTGAAATCCTTCGCAAACCATCCCTTTAAATGTCTTACAAGCCTCTTCGGGCATACCATTCTGGGCATATCCAGTAATCAAACAAGCCCAAGTGATGCCATTTCGGTCAGGCATTTCGTCGAATAACTTCCGGGCGGTATCCAAACGGCCAGCTCTGACAAAAACATTGATAAGGGTATTGCACAGGAACAAATCACCATTGAACCCGTGTTTGAGCAAACCCAGATGAAACCTGTCCGCATCCTTGGGCGAAGATGAGTCCTGATATCGACGAACCAAGGACTCGTAAAAATCACCGATATTACTCGAATCGGAAGCAATTGGCAAGATAGGTCTGCCGCTTGTCTCTAGAAGCGAGAATCTTCTGAACTCCGGAAACGAGATGTGGTCGGCCGGGCGTGGGATTATTAAGGGAAGTTTGGCGTTCTGTGACCTAAAGGCGAGAGGGGTTTGCGGTGGCGGCGGCCGTGGTGGTAAAGAAGGCGGGACGGCGAAAAGGCTGAAACTAGATCGGGTAGTGTGGAGAAATAATCGGCTTCTGTTGCGGGTGTAAGCTGGGAGGGCGCTGAACATGCTATGATTGAAAGAACGAGCACTCTCTCGTTCATGGCTCTTTGGCGAGCTCTTGTGGAAGCTCAAAGCTTGAAGAGCTTGATCAAGACGTTCGGCGGCAAAACGGAAGATTTTTTGTGTCGCCTATGTTTGCGGCCGAGCTTTTTCCTATATGCGCCAACTTTTCAATTTTATTCTTTGCTCATTTTTATTTAAATACGATTTTTATATGCATACAATTGAATAATCAATAGGCTAGAGACACCTCGAGACGCGTCAAAGATAGAGAAGCCGGTAATATAATGTTGTCAATCGTGCTTGGAGGTAAGGCCAATCTCTGGTTACTAACAAATGAGTAATAAAATCTCAGCCGTGGGCCAGAAAATCTAAATATAATAGTAGATAATTAAAGTCATTTTTATTTTTTCATGTTTACTTAATCGACTCATATCTTCTTTGTTTTAACTCGGATTTCAATTATTTTTGCACAGATAGAACGAGTTCGTTGTGCTCTACAAAATGAGATCCATTTTCAATATTTTTTGTGAGACAAATTTCTGTCATCTCGTTACCAACTGCAGACCATATGGTTTTTAAGTCATTTTTTTTTGCACAAAATGAACGAGTTCATCACGATCTATTGGATCTACAAATTTCTGGGTGAACAAAATACAGGATAAAAAAATACCACCCAATACCACTCTGATATGGGGTGGTATCTTGTGGTACACAATGTTGAAAATTGTAAATGATAGTTCGTGTACTTCTATTATCATGTATTCAATCATCCTACAATCTTGGTATGTTCAAACCACCATAGTAAGCTTTTTCATACCATATGGTATGCTCTTATTTAATACCAGTCAATACCATATAGTATATACTACTAAAAAATGGCTCAATTTTTTTTGTTCCAAAAATATATCAAAGTGGATATCATTTTGAAGAGCACAATTAATCCGATCTAACTGTGCAAACAAAAAAATCAACGTAAAACGAGTGAGAAATCGTCCGTTGAAGATTAAGGGGGAAAATTAAATGTTTTCCAGGAGAAAGAAGGAGAACTGATGTGGCGGATGGTGATTGGGTTATGCATGGTTACTCACCACAAGGTTATGCATGAGATCCGTTCCCCATAGCAATCATTTCTACAAATTAACAAGGCTAAATTACACGTCGTGTCACTCAAATTTTACAAATCTTTCACGTTTGCCACCCGAATTACTTTTCTTTCTAATTCACCACTAACTTGACGAATTGTTTCACCGCTAGTCACCGACCGTTACACTCCGTTAAATTTATCATATGTTGTAGTCAACTATAAAGTTTGACCATTGACTAGATGATGTGGAAATTAAAAAAAAAATATTTTTTTTATTTTTCCAACTCATCATTCCACTTACTTACTTTGTGTATATGATTTATCATATTATCTATTTGATAAAATTAATTAAATTGCAAAATAAATAATAATAATCCGTCGCCCACTTCGCTAATTGGCAATTCCTCAGCCTTGGCGGCTTCCAGGTGCGGGAGCGACGAGGACAGGGAGAGGCCCTATAACACCCCGACCTTTGAATTTAGATTCGACCCTAATACGTGAACGGTTGGGTTAACGGTTACGTACGAGGGGTTACAATTGCGGGTTATAAATAATAATAATAATATAATAATTATTATATTTAGTGGCGGCGCCTTGTAACATCTCGAACCTTTTTCCGAGCAAGATATTGTCTGTTTTGGGCCTCGACCCTCACGGTTTTCAACTTGGGGTGCAATTCAAGGTGATTTCTCATAAGGTCACCCATCCTTGTTGTACTCCACACTGAGCAAGTTTAACTTCGGAGTTCTCACAAGAACTCCTCCATTACACCCCAATACGCGTCTTGTTAGTTAAGGTCGGTTTCTTACTTATGAACCATGGATCTCTCCCGTGCTTTGTCGATGTGGGATCTCTCCATTCAACCGTGCAGCCAATTTCTGAGGGGTTAGACTCCGAGACCCACGAGAATCGCGTCGGGTGGGAAGCGTACCTATGTGGGAGAAGCATGTGAAGATTGGAGGACGATGACAGTGGTACTGGTGGAGACGGGTATCGCGGTGGATTGGAGAGGAAGAGTTGCGCTGCCGCCGAATCCACATCAATCGTGGACGGAATCTAGAGGTGGAAGTCGGTCTGATTACATGATGATGATGATTATTCGCATTATCCTTGGAAGAAGAATCTATGTTGCCGTCGTACCAGCCACTGACGGTGGGATGGTGATGGTCTAGCAAGTGCACGGAGGCAAGGACGGGCGGTCTGTTGGTGGGAGCGAAATTGAACATCTCGGATAACATCCCCGTCATTTCGCACACTTGTTGCGGCTATTGTCGGTCCACCAGTGGTTTCAAATTGACCGGTATTAGTATTGGTCTTTCTTTACTGGTTCCTTATGCAAGATCTGTAAACGCCATTCAATTTCATTCTCTCATTGTGGCGGTGACTTTGCTACATGTTATGTAATTTGGGACTCTGATGAGTGATGGGTTCTTGATGCAGCTGCATTTATGCTCTAAAGTCGACTCCCTTCTCAAAAAAAATCTAGGATGCTAATTTGTTTCACACCTGTATTCAATAAATTAATCATATTATTTATTTTTGTAATTCAAATTCTAAAGATAGAGAAAAAATTAATCATATTTTTTGCAATTTAATTAGTTTTTATTAAATAAGTAATATGATAAAATCATATAACAAAGTAAGTGGAGTGATGAGGTGGACAAATATATTTTTTTTAATTTCCACATCATCTAGTTAAAGGTCAAACTTTATAGTTGACTGCCACATAGGACAAATTTAAAGGAGTATAACGGTCGGTGACTAATGGTGAAACGATTCGTAAAGTTAGTGGCGAGTAAGAAAGAAAAATAATTGGGGCGGCAAACGTGAAAATTTTGTATAATTTGAGTGACCATATGTGTAATTTAGTCAAATTAACAAACAAAAAGTAGAAGGGAAACATATCTAGCTGCCAAGGTCAGCACAAGTTTCGATAATACAAAACTAACTCAAGAGTCTCAGACAAAAAATGAGGTGTAAAAGAGAATACGATAAAATAAATGATAAATAACCAACAACATATAAGATCAAAGAATATTGGAGATATATAGGAATTATTATTAATATATAAAAGCCTAAAAGTCTTAAGTTACTATTCATTAGTATCCCTACACTCCTCCAAGTGCAAGTGGACAACCTTTTTTTTTTTTTTTCTCCACACACATGTCCTCTCCTAAATCTCTAAATTTTAGAGAACCTCCTATTACCCCACTCTCTCATTTCATACCATTTGTTTTCACTTTTGTCCATTAGGTTTTCCCAATCCTTAGATGTTTGAGTTACTTTTACTCTGTGAGGTTACGCTAGATTGTGGTTGTATTTAGTATGTTTCAGATCTTAGCAGGTGAAATAAACCCATTGAACGAAAGTTGGACGACAAGGAGCGAAAACCAGTCAAAAAGGAGCAACAGCAGCAGATCACGGTGGAGGCCAGCAGTTCACGGTCTTCTAGACCGTGGAGAGCGGGGAGTCCAGAAGGGTTCGTCCATCTCGCGGGCATAAACCAGTTCACGGTCACTCGATCATGAAGACCAGCTCCATACCGTGAACCCCCTTAAAGAAACTAGGCGTTTTAGCCCAACATCACGGTCCGGGTCAGATGTTCACGGTCGTGCAACGAGACCGTGAAACGCCGTCGTTCTGGGTATATAAAGGGGGATCGAGCTGAAAGAGAAAAAGGGGGAGCAACCTAGTTAGAGAGACTTCTTCTTCTTCTTCTTCTTCAGATTTATAGAGTGAGAAAGTGAAACAAAAGGAGAAGAGAAGTTAGGGTTTCATTCAAGAGCTAGGTTTTGGGAAGTTCTTCCTCCAAGGTTGATCTCCACAACACAAGGAATAAGGCAAACATATCCAAGATGGTTTTCTCTTTTCTCCCTTGTGTTTTCCCTCTACTTAGCATGGAGTAGACCTTTCTTTCACTTGGATAGTTTGTAACCCCACTAGTGTTTTTGTTCCCTTAGATGATGTGAAATAGGAGTCTAAGGCGGGTACTAAACCCGAAGGGAGGAAGAAGAAAGCATGTCGTGCAAAGATGAGCCACACCTTTATCCCAAAGAAGGACAACGGTAAGGCGAAAGTGCCCGGCTAAGAAGGCCAGCCTTTGGAGCTTAAGATGGGAGGCAACAAGCCTCGCTTCGAGATCGTGGCAGATCCACTCTCGGAGGCCTCGTGCTATCAAGCATGAAAGATCCGCAACGTTGGGCTAGCTTCGTTAAACTAACGCTTGTTGGTAGGCGACACAACATAGGTTTGTTTTCTTTTCTCTTTTTGTTATTGAGTGAAGAGTTCAAGTGGTTGAGCGGTGATCACCGTTACAGAGTTGTGTGTCTACATGTTTTGAATATGTTGAGATCGAGTTAGGGGGACTTGATTTGATCGAGTTTTTAAATTTTTGGAAATGCCTTGTTTTTCACCAGTTCATGATTTTAGCCCTATTATCACGGTTAGCGGACTGTGATAATGAGTCAGAGACCATGATCAAAGGGAAACCCCAGTTTTTAAAACACGTCATTTTTGCCCGAGTTCACGGTCCGGGAGTTATTATCATGGTCGACGCAACCGTGAAAATTAACTTTCGTTCGTGAACTGTGGACTCATGATATATAAAGGGTGTGAACCCTTCTTCTTCACTTCACGCCGCCACCGCCAGAATCCTCTAAAATCCTCACCGGAATACCGCGACAACCATCATTTTCCAGAGATTTTGGCGACTTCCGGCCACCCAAATTCAAAACCAAAACTAGAACCAATCTTCTCTCGTCTGGGCTCACCTTCGCCGAGATTTTGGAGAGATTTTCCGGCGAGCCTCTCCCCTCAGTTTTTTTGCATTTTTTTGACTCCATCGCCCTCTCCTCACCTTCCCCTTCAATCCTAATTGAGTCTCCTGGTTTATTTTGAACTTTTACCTTGTTAATTTTGG